CTCCTCCCAATACCCAAAGAGCGGCCAACAATGGACCGTAACATAAGCCAGAAGTGCTGCGATTCTAGTAACCCGGTACGACCCAAAGTTTTCCAGGCAGGATCGATGAAAGCCTCCCCTGGCCCAAGTCGTAATGCAATGCTAGTATAGGCTATAGCTCTACCCGAACCCGAACCAGCCCTTCTTTTTCCGACTGCTCCGGTCTGACTCGCGCGGCGCGGGCACCTCGCCGAGCTCCTCGATTTGCGACTGCGCGACGGAGATCGCGCCCAGGTCGGGCGCCGCCTCCGAGGCGCGCGGGTCCGAGTCGGCCGCGGCGGCCGCCGCGGCGTCCTCTTCGGCGACGTCCTTCATCCACGCGAGCCAGTCCTCGGGAGAAATGAGGCCGTCGCCGTCCTCGTCGATCTGGCGCACAATCTCGTGCACGTCGGCGGGCAGCATCTTGAGGCCGAGCCAGCGGCAGGCCGAGAAGAACTCGGAGCAGGAGAGCACGCCGTTCCCGTCGTGGTCAAACACGCGGAAGGCGTCCTGCACGTAGAGCCCCCTGGCGCGGAGCCGCCGGTGCATCGCCGAGACGAGGGCGCCGCGCTTGATCATCGCAAACTCGGAGGGCACGGTGAAGACCTGCGAGAGCGGCGTCTCGTGCCAGTCGCGGCGGAAGCGGCGGCGACAGCCGCGCACCGCCAGCCACCAGTGGGCGCGCTCCTCACAGCTGGCCGTCTGCAGCGTGCGCAGCAGCGCGCCCACCGCGGGCGCGTCGAAGTCGTGCTGCGAGTCGACAAAGCGCAGCGCCGAGTGGGCCGAAGCGCCCTGAGCGGCGCCCCCGGCGACAAACCCGGCCGAGGCGTCGAGCGGCGCACCGCCAGCGCAGAGCGCGAGCGAGGCGCCGCTGCCGGGGGCGAGCGGGGCGCCGCCGGCGGCGTGCAGGTGCGCGCGTAGCGTCTCCGCCTCTGCGAGCGAGAGGGCGACGTAGTAGCGCCCCTCCTCCATGAGGTGGAAGGCGGAGGTGGCGAGCGCCGCGCGGAGCTCGGCGCGGTCGAGCGACCCCGAGCCGTCCTTGTCGGCCGCCGCCATGACCGCCTCGACGTCGGCGTCGGCGCTGAGGTTGGAGAGCAGCTGCTGCACCTCCTGCGCGCCGAGCCGTCCGTCCCCGTCGCTGTCG